TAAAACTAAAGTAATTTATAAAAACGTGACAAACAACTTTATGAAAACGTATCGTATTAAAAGTTTAGCATTATAAAAAAAGTTACTAATGGACCGTAAAAACGCTCGTTAATTTTAAAATTAATCAATAAAAATTTTTTATTGGTTGATTTTAAAATTAACGCGCGTTTTTATGTAACCTTTTTCATAATGCTATACTTTTTATAAAGTACTTTTTTATAACATTGTTTAAGTGATATGTGAAAGTTCCTGAAATTTTTAATAATATTTGAATATCAGCTTTATTTTTTCTAGATGCTTTTCTACTTTAATAAATGTTTGGAAATAATAATGTTGTTTGAACAAAGAATGAACTTTAAAAGTAATAAGTGCTTTATAAATGTAATAACACTATTATAGTTTTATTAATTTTATAATGCAGTTAGTGACTAAACTGTTATTACTTTTGTAGTCGTAAGTTTATTGTTTTTGTTTTGTTTTTTGTAACTTTCTCATTAGCGAACTTTTAATAATTTGCTACTTATAAACAAAGTACACAGCTTTGCATGAACTAAAATTTTAATGACCTAATATTTTACCAGAGTTTGCAAATCGGGATCGTATAATTTAACTCTTGATATAAATTTGTTACATTATAATTATACAAATATATTTTACAAACAGATGACCATACTTATTTTCTCTTTCCTCTTTAAAAGAAAAAACACATAAAATATGGGAAAGTCATCCTTTTTAAACGCCCAAAACCGTTTTTTTTTTTTTTTTCTGCTTTGACTTGATGAATTTTGTTGCCGATAATAATAACCACTAAGAAAAAAAAAAAAAAAAAAAACAACATACAATTTATTTGAACTATTATTATTGTTTTCTATTTAAGTTTACTCTAATTTCTAATGTAGTTATTAAATCTAGAACAATTTTTCAGTAACGCATATAATATAACTTGCGCAAACAGCCGTGATCACGTTCTCTAACTTGAAAAACGTTTTCGTGGTTGACCGAGACAAAAAACCGCACCCCTTTCCTGGGAAGGCTTGCTTTTGTATAACTTTTTTTATTATATAATTAAATTTATTTTTTTATACGTATAAGCATATTTAGCTTATTTGGATAAGGCGTTTATTTCAAACATGGAATGTTTGTGGTAGGAATCCCATCTCTTCCCATATATTTTTTGTTTAAACCCACCTCCTCCCTTTTTGTCTACTACTTACTGGTGAAATATACATAAACAATTGTTAACAATTATTATTAATAATTGCATAACAATTAATAATAACTATTAATAATAATTGTTCACCAATAACATAGTAGATAAAAAGGGAGAGGGTAGGTAGAACTATACGCAGAGCCAAATGTTCAAAAACAACAGTTATCCAAAACTAAAAAGCGATAAAAGATTGGGGATAAAAAACATAAAGGAATAAAAAGATAATATGAAACAATTAAGGTTATATGAAAAGTGTGTAGATGGCATAAAATACACTGAAAGAATTAAATGGTATAAGAAACCTAGATGTGAAGAGATGTGCATCATTCAGAAAGATACAACAAAAAGTTTTTTATACACAAAAAAAAAAGCAAGCAAAAGTTAAAAAGCAATTATATGACCAAGGGTATTTAAAAAAGCAATTTAAAAAAATAGACAGGGGCAAAATTAAAACCACAGACATTCCATGTATTAAGTCAACACCTTATTAAAATAAGCTTAACATGCGTATATCTGTGAACAAAAAATTATAATTATATAATAAAAAAAGTTATACATAAGCAATATAAAATATAAGCAGGCTTGGACAGAAAGGACGTGCAATCGCACTCTGTAACTGACCAAGCGTAAAATATTTTTTCTTTATAATTTGACCACAGTGGTTTTTGATGTTTTAACAATTTAAATGCAACTTTAAAAATTGTTAAATTATAAATAACTTTAAATTGTTGATCTTTTCTCAAGTTTTTATTTTACACAAAGACTTAAAATAAATTAAAAAAGTAATTGATACTGGCAAGATATGAAAATAAAAATAGTTTTAAACTTTTTAATCAACTCTTCATTCACATTAGGTATTTTGGAAAAATTTTCAATATTTTCAAATGCTCGGCGTGCAGTATTGCCGTCATTGGTATTTCTGAAACCTCCTACTTTTGGTTTATCCATGTGAAGATGTAAATTTTCAAAGAACAGTTTTGTCTTTTTTTTTTCTACATAAAAATATTTTGTTATTATTAGTACCTCGAATTTGCTATTTACACAAATCATGTCTGTATGATATGTGAACAATGCATTCAAAAAATCATATCCAAGCATGCAGTGGACTAATGCCATACTGTAAAGTATTAGGTTTAGGCCTAAATAGTTCTGTGGTTTTTAAATCCTGCACTTTAACAAAATCATTCGGAGTAGCTTCACATATCGGACAAGCTTGGTTTAACTTGGTTCCAGTTAATATATTTAAAATTTTGCCATCAATTAGCGACATAAATAATGTAAAGCTGCTTTGAATTCTTTTCATATCAGACAAAATCGTCATTGGCTCTAACTTATCTATTTGTCCGTCAATATCCTTTTTTTCTTTTAAAATGTGTTCTGTGGATTCTTTTATGTATTCAATTTTATATGGTCTACAAAACCGCACAGATTGAGGAGTGCGATTGTTCGATAAGATTTTATTATCTTCTGAAGTCAAATAGAGTGGTACAAATAAATTTGAATCAGAATGACAACCAGCAGTATCAAACTTTTGTTTACAGGCTGAATGACCGGAACTGCCGTCAAATCCATAACTAAATATTATCTCGGCAGTAATTTCGTTAGTATTAAAGAATTCCATGTGCTGAAAAATCACTTCTTCTTGCAATTGTACAATACGTCTCACTGTATGTTCTAATAAATTCATGAATGGTACTTGTGCAACAATATCAGAAATGAATATACCATTTGGTCTACATGCCGATTTACATTTCCAAATCTCTTTATAATCAGGATAGAAATTAAAATTTTTGGTAACAGCTTCTTGTCTAATGCTTTTTTACTGTTGTTTACTTAAATTGGAATCCAAAATAAATTCTAATGCTTCTTCCGCTGTATAACGTATTGTTTCTTTTTTTGTTGAAAATATAGTTTTTTTAATTTTAATTGGCCGAGATGGACTTTTGTTCAATTCTTTTAGAACCAATGCTAAATAGCGTTTCTTTGGCTGACGTGCAGCCATACTTGCTGCTTGCAATATAAGAGATGTTTTGTGCAAATTATCTTGACATAAATTTGATGCTTTTAATCTCTTGGCCTGATCCAATTTTGTGGTATATGATAAACTTGTTTGTCCAGAAGGCCTTGATGGAATTGACTGACAAGAAGATGTTGATGGAATTGCATCATCAGTAAATGTAATTTCACTCTTTAACCTATCTGAATTTTTAGTTTTAAATCGGACCATTGTTCTTTGACTATCTGACCATTTTCTATTAAAAGAGTTGCACAAACGATATATTTTCTTTTGAATATTATTGCTAATAACTACTGTTATATCATTTCCAACTATTTGAATAGCGTGCTTAAAAATATTTAAGTTTTTCTTATTTTTATCTTTTTTTTCCAGCCATACATTAAATAAATCCTCCTATTTTAAGCGGTACATCACTGCAAATATAGATATATTTTAAATTAGGGCAACTAGGGGCAAGTTTTGAAAACTGGAATATTTTTCTGAAAACTAACAAAATTTAATCATGTAAAAATATTTTAGGAGAAATACGAAGATTTTTTTAAAAGTCAATTTAAAGTTTTAAAAAAAGTCATAAAAGAAGAAATACTTCTACACGCTAATTGCTTTTACATAATTAATAAAATAATGAAACATTTTAATTTACTTAAATATTTAAAAAATATATATACCTTAACAAAAATAATTCACTTTACAGATATCAAAATTATTAATTATTGCAAAAGTTATGTATTATTAAGTGAACAGCTCACTTTACGCTAACTCACTGTAAAGCTGAGGTAAAAAATATTCTCAACTTGAGTGCATATTACAAACAAACTGAGCTATTAATTTAAAAATAGACCACGTCTATTATCACTTTCAAAAGTCGCATGCCATTCCTGTTCAAGCCTGTATACGCATGCATTACATAGAGGTTTTCATATAGGGACAATATACATACATTAAAATTATACAAATATATTTAAATTATACAAATATATTTCACAAACAGATAGCTATTTATATTTTCATGTTCCTTTCTAAAAAAAACAAATAAAATATAGGAAAATCATTCTTTTTATTGTCAACTTTAAACTGTTTTTTTTTTTTTTGCTTTGCTTTATTTAATTACATTGCTGAAAATAACAACCACTCTAAAGAAACAAAACAAAAAACAGCGCACAAATTATTTAAATTATTAATTTTTTTTTCCTATTTAAATTTTATTTAAATTTCCTATTTTGTTACTTTTGCTTTCTTTGTTTTTGAAACTTAGTTTTTTCTGCAAAGCCTAATATAATAAAACTTGCAAATGACCATGACCAAGTTGTCTAAAATAAAATACTCATGTGTGGACATACAAGGCAAAAAACTGTACACGTTTCCTGGGAAGACTTGCCCTAAAAAAAAAGCATTTAACTGTAATGCATTGCAACTGTGAATTTCTTTGTAAAAGAAACTGATTATTAAAAAAAAAGATTTTCTTAAAAATTAAATATGATTTTAAAAATATAAATTTTATTTTTAAGGAATGTAAAATAGTAAAATGTAGAATGTAAAATTCAGTTTGTAAAAGAGTTTTGCAATATTTGTTGAAGAAGAAACTCATCTGCTAACTACACAGTTGCACTCATTAAATAAAATATAAATCTCTTAATCGTAGCTTAAAATATGTGAAAGCAAATAAAACTTCATTTTTTCTTTAAAAAAGAGAGAAGTATTTTTGTTTAAAATAATTCTTTTCACAAATATGTTTAAAATTTGATTATGTTAGTCTGTAAAACAACATTATACCTGCTCATTTCATCTTCTAAATCACGCTTACGCTTGTCTTCCATTTTTATTGTTTAATAATATCTAAATAAAATAAAAATAACATGATTTTACGTATGTAAAAAAAACAAACAATTAAGCAGACAATTAAATTAAACAATTAAGCAGATTATTATGTTATATATATATATATATATATACATATAAATATATATATATATATAAATATATATAAATATATATATATATATATATATATATATATATTTATATATATTTATATATATAAATATATGCCAGTTATAAAACTTTCCAGTATAAATTTACAAAAACTCGATGCCAAATATTATGTTAACAGCACTAATGACCTTGAAATATTATTGAGGCCTAATTTCTACCTAATTTCTTAGTAATTCTGAAAGAAATTAAATATATGATACATGCTGTAATGAACTGATATTCTATTTGCACTTAGGTTTTTATAAAGCTTGATTAATGATGTCATAATGAAATAGCTAAAAAAGCAATTTTTATGTTGCAATAAATGCTTTTCATATCTAGATTGCATACTGCAAAATTAAATCTTTAACTAATATAGTTACTAAAAGCCCCGACAGATGACTTTTTTAATGACACAGAACTGGACACAGAAATCTATTTAGTTGGTTTTAAAGTTAAAGTTCAGAATTATTATTAACCATAGCAGCATGATTACATGTTCAAATCTCGGCTCCGCCTACTCAGTATATGAGTATTACCTTGGTACAAAGGGACCTAGTCTCAATTAGCTCTGCTATTATGATGTTTCCTTCTTAATTAGTAAATAAATAATAAAAGAATTATTTTTTCAGTATCAAATCATAAATGACACTTTATGTCTTATATCTATATATCTTGCTCTACAGTTTTAGTCTTTTCTCTTCCAGTAACTTCCAACTCTTATAGTGGTTGCTTGCAGCCTTGTTGGAAGTGAAGATGTTAAAAAAAAAAAAAATGTGAGATGTCTGTATATTTTACAAAAAAAGTGTGCAATGTTCTTAAAAAACAGAGCAATTAGAAATTAGTTCAAAAAACAATTCTATTATAGATAGATAGATAGATAGATACACATATACATGCATATATATATATATATATGTATATATATATATATATATATATATATATATATATATATATATATATATATATATATATATATACAAATAATATTGCGTACCAAGTTAAGCAATATGACATCATACTGAAATAGCCTGCTGCTAGGGGCTTCAGTACATACATCGACTGACAAATAGCCTGACTCGCAGTGGAGTGCTGCTACATCGACTGAGGGTTTGGGATGGGGCAGCAATCGTTTTATTTATCATTCTTCGTTTTTTTTTTTTCTTCTTTTTCGAAAAAAACGGTACAGCTTAAGGTAAGCAGAAAAAGTGAGCAAATGCTTATCAAAACACGCTTTAGTAAGTGTGTGTGTGTGTGTGTATATATATATATATATATATATATATATATATATATATATATATATATATATATATATATATATATATATATATATATATATATATATATATATATATAATTCTATTTAAAACAACAAGAATTCATAATAAACATTATATGATCAACGATATTGTTAAAAATTGAAACAAAAGTCTATTAGATATATAGTTTATCTCATAGACATAAACAATAAACAAATTTTATATATGGAAAATTTTAAAAATCTATTAAAATAGTGTTTTTCATAATTAATGAAAAAAATTTCAAAAGCTTAATAGACATTTACAATAAAATTTTTTATACATTGCACTAAACAACCATGGAGGTCTACTATTTATCTATCATTTGAAAATATAAGCTCTCCACGGCAGTTTTCTTAGCTCAGTTATAACAGTGATATAGAAGTAGACTTTTGTAACTTCAAATAAGCTTAACAACAAAAACAGTATTTAAATAAGATTTTATGAGAATAAAAGATTGATTACAAAAAGTTAATCTTTTTCTTGCATTATATATTTTACAATAAGGCTTAATTTTTTTTTTTTTTTTGGATTAAATAATAAAATAGAATAATAATTAGGAAAGTAATTATTAAAAATAAAATGTAGTTATCTTTTTTAGTATTAAAAAGAAATGATTATAACACTTTTTTTTTTAATGTTGAAATTTAATCACTGAACACAATCTACTCGACATTACTAACTCGACATTTTAAAAATATAATATAGTAATCAATAAGTGAAGAAAAACTGGTAAACTCTTATTTATGTAAATTGTTGAGTAGAAAACTGACGGATTTTTTAGCGTTGTTTTTTTGTTGTTTTTTTTTTTGTGTTGATTTTCAGCGCTTCGAACTTAAATCCATTTTACTAAAACTAGTCCATGTCGGCACGGAAAATAAAATACTAAAACAAATTAACTAAAAATCAAATTGGTTTTGAGTCTAGTATTGGTTTTTGAGTCTAGTATTTGTGTTTTTGCTTTAGTTATCACTCATAATTTAAACGTTGATTATGATTATTCTAATACTATTTTAGTATTTTACCTTAATTTTGATTTCTAAAACCAAAATTTTTGATTTTTTTTATTCCATTCGATTTAATTCTGTATGTATGAGTTCAGATGCTAACACAGGCACGCTTCGAATCAAAATTACGTTAGGTAAGCCAACAGTTAGCTGTCATTTTTGGAAGTTAAATTATCACTAAGTTTCAAATTAGTATACTGTATTATGTCAAATAAATCCCCATCGTCATTAGTTTGGAAAACCAAACCTCAACTTATTAAATCGTCATCGTCTGCGATGCTAATTCCTCAAAATGATTTAAATCAAAGTAGAAGGCAAAGAAGCGTCAGTGAAAGTCAAGCTGAAGTGCAACCTGCTGAGGGAAGACAAAGAAGCGGATCCGTTCAGGTTGACATACCACTATGCATTGATATCCCTAAGTCACCTCAATCGCCTTCATTGTCATTTACTGGTTTTAATTTTCTTGACAGGAAACGAAGTTCTTTTTCTATTGGCTATGATGACTAATGTCAATAACAATAATATTTTTCAGATTTAATGATTTGAATAACGACTTGAAATATTTTTAAAATAATTTTATCAAAATTTTATCGATGCTAAACGTCTAAGTTATTTTATTGAAATAACTTTTATATAAGAAGCTATTTAGCAACCTATATACTCTTAATGTACTTTTTCGATGTGTACAAGATGTTTTTTGTAAATAATTAGAGTTAAGTCTAAATAATTAAGTGAAACATTTAAGATTGTAGTGTAATTATTGTTTTTATTTTTAAACTAGCACGCTTGTAACATGCAAGCATGTTTACTTATGTTTGCAAAGTTGAGTTTTTAATGGAATTTATTACAATTTTAAGCGACTTGTAGTTTCTTTAAGTATAATAATTTTTTGTGGAACAAAAAATCTTCTTGATTTGAAGTTATTGAATTGTAAAACTTTTGATTTTTTTTTTAATATTTTATGGTACTGTAGCTTTTAACTATTTTGTAAATTGAATACTTGCATTAATTGCTTGCTATTTTCTTTAGAAAATAAAAATTTTATGATAATTTGTAAAAGTAATTTACATTGATATGAGTATATATATTTTTTCATTATTGTAAAATCCATATATTGTAATGTTTTCATAACTTCTTCGTAGTTGTAATCTTTATTGATTTTTATGTTTATCACAACTAAATGTTATATTTATCAGCTTTGTTGCATTAGTTTATTGCATTTTTTTAAATTTCTATTGTATTATCTATTTATGTTTGTAATTTTTATTTGGTGAAAAAATTTCAGGCCCTATCAGTAAAACTACTAGAGAGTAAGACATTCAGTTATGAAAGTTTTGCAATTTGAATATCTTTAAAATTGCCCAACTTGTGCAGGCTTGAGAAATATAAGTTAATTTAATTTCAAAATTAAAGTGTCAATGGTTTACTATGACTAATTGAATGATGGTTATAAAAGCAAAAAACTTTAATAATTCAATTTATATGCCAAGAAATAACTTGATAAAAAAATAATAGTTTGTGACTGGTGGTTTTTCATTTTATTTAGTACATTTGATTAATGGAAAGAATTTATTTCCTTCACTACATACATGCATACATTCATATACATAGAGAGAATGTGTATTAAAGTATATATACTATTTAAGTATGTATATATGTAATATACATACTTCATATGTATATTACATATATACATACTTAGTAGTATATATTCTTGGAAACTGATTCTACAGGTAAGACTATATCTGAAAACAAAAGTTTCAAAGCAATATAGCCTACCATAAATTACCTTTAAAAGTAATTGAACTAGTTTTCATTGCATGAGGTAAAATTTAAAAATGATGATAAACATAGGCGCCCGCATAAAATTTTCTAAGGAGGGGGGGGGGGCAAAACGTTTTTTGTTATTGCTTTTTTTCCTGTTATCTATTATGTAAAAATCAAGATATGTAAGATATAAAATTTTTTTCTACATTTAGAAAATACAGGAGGGGGGCAAGTGCCCCCTCTTGCCCCCCCCCCTCCTCTCCTTGCGGGCGCTTATGATGATAAACAATACATCATATCAAAGTATTGGGGGTTGGTATCTTTTAAACGAAAGCTTATGTCATAGGTAGAGAATAAAAACATATTCCAAATATTGAATAATTTACTTCATAGTTGAGCTGAACATAAACCACTACAAAGCAAATAAACAAAAATTCCAATTATCCTAAATGCTAGCCACTAACTTATGTGCCAACTAGGTAAGGTTAAAAAAAAATAAAGCCTTTTTTAACAAAATATATATTTCTGTATAATAACTTTACATTATAATTTTGATCTTGCCTTAGTCTTTTTCAATGTGTGCGTAATCGACCAAACGTTCAATCTAAAATTAATCACATTGTGATTGCAATAAAAAAAAACGTAATATTTGTAAATCTACAGAATAAAATACTTAGATAATAAATAAAAGAAAAAAATAACTATAAAATAAATCTGAAAGTTTCAGATAGTCAAAGCCAGGATTTTTGTTAACCTCTAAGTTAAAAAATCTCTCTTTTTTTAAAGTATCCTTTTTTTATTTATACG